CAAATATGTCATCCAATGATTGATGTTAAGATTTTCTTGAAGGAAGCTGATTGAGATTATGATAATATACAGCGTCACTTGCTAGAAAATGCGCTTAATCATGTTAGATTGCGCATGGATCATGTCAAGTTGTTTGATAATTTACTGTTAAGAGTGCTTGGGATTTGTTAAGAAGAAAGGAGGAATTTACAACTTACCTTACACTAAAAATTTATTGTTAAGAGTGGTTTTGCTGACAGGGTAGCGCTTGAAACATTCATTATTGATCCTTACAAATATGATGCTCAAGAAGCAAGAGTTCGGGTTCGGAACAACTACAAGGAAAAATTCCCAAACGAGTCAAGCTAGTGATCCTTTAAGGTGTTGTTGGGTTGCTGATTAGAATCGTAAATATTAGTAATATAGGAATTAATTATGAAGAAATCAATATGTTATATTCCGATATTCGTTATGCATAGGTCAATTATTTATGTATTAATTATTGGGATCATTATGCCTTACAGCCGTTTTAGTAAATTTTTTGACAACGAAAATGGCCTTTTATCTATTCCGGCACATTTGGAGATGATTTTTTTAATAAAAAAAATCTTTTTAAATTTTTAAGGCATCTATTATGTCTTCCTTCTTCTTCTTCCACGATCTACTCCATTTTTTTCTTTAAAATTTGATGTATCGTAAACATGAATGATTTCGAGTGAATTGTATATATATCAAAAGACTCAAAACATTGAGAGGATTTCAAATCTAAAATTTAGAACTATTTAGAAGTGATTTTGAATTGATCGAGATTGAGTAGTTAGTGTATAGTTCATGTATAGACTGAAATATTCAATTGTTCTATGACAAGTGCTTTTGTGTCAACCAAGCTACAATAGTGTAGATACTTGTGGACAATATTCCTTCTTCAAATAGAGGAAAGCAAAATTAATAATGAAGTGGAAACCACTTGAAGATAAATTTTATACAGAAACAAAAGGGTGAAACTTAAGTCACAAAGAAACAAGCTATCTTCCAAATAAAACACTCAAGTATTACAGGCTACACTCTGAATACACCCTCAGTCTATGTTGCTCGGACTCTTTAAAAATATCAACGGGTGCGTGTATTTTTGAAGGATCTGACACAGATGGGCAACATTTTTGGAGAGTCCGATCAACTTAGCCCTCAGTGAACTCGTTATGTCATAACAACTTCTAAAGTGGATGATTTACGCATCTACATCAGTTTCCTTTCTTTTCTCTCTTATAGATTCACAGTGGAGATCCCTGGTAAAACTTGTAGTGGCATCCAAGAAGTAGAGAACAATCGACATTACACAGCAACTTACAAACATTGGTATGGGACCAAATATCCAAAGGAAGAGAGGAAATTTAATGACAAATAAAATGCTCGTAGTCCAAGTGACCGAAACATGCTCCCTCGGTTCAAATTCCTTGCGACATACTCTATAGAATCAGATCTTTCTTTGAAGGTACGCACAGTAGCTGAAACAAACTCGATTTCCAACACAAACACTGATATATATAATTCACTGAATATAAGTTACAATGTAGAATACGCACAACAAAGTAATAACACACAAATTATGGATAGATTAACATAGAAGAAGGTAACTAGAAGAGGATGAGATACTAGAACAAAGAAAGGAGATGAAAGATAACTGAAAGCTAAAGCTTGACATAATTTGCATAACCGTTCATTCCAACTCCTAGTCTTTTTTAACAAATGGTAATTGGGTTGGGATCCCAAATAAAACTCTCTAAATATTTTACTCAGCCCAATAGTTATAAGTGAATCAGTCCTATTCACCATTTTTATCCCATAGGCCCTTACGGAGCCAGCTTGGTTCACAACAGTAGCTAAGAAGCTAACATGGGCGTAGTACCTGACAGATTGAACATTGCAGAGAAATGCAACTAGAAAGCAAAGCAATATGGTAAAAAACTTTATAGAAGATATCATAGATGTTTTATTCCCATACAGTAGCTCAGAGTGCAATCAAACAAACAAGCATGTCATGGCTCATGGTCGTAGTGACTATTTAACAGACCTTCATGACAACAGATAACCTTATTACTATTGTTGCTCTATGAAGACAAGTAAATTTCTGTGATTAAAATCGTCATTAACATTCGTACTTCTATGATACTCATTTTGTGGATATTGTAGGCCTCTAAGGCCCATTACTATTCTCTATAACCTGCCTTTCACTTCATATGCCTTTATACGCTTCTTCTTAATTGTGACCATATTGGTTTCATAGATATTGGGATTTCACTTTGTTCCAACAGAATCAATACAAAATAATTTCAAGTTCTTATAGGATTAGCAACCTTTAAACCATTTTTACATAAAAGTGTGGAGATTTGACCTTCTGCACAATCCAACAAAGTAGTCATTGCTCGGAAAGCAACGTATATAGTACACAGCCCAAACTATGCTTGTCATAAGTCAAGGACAGGTCACATAGGAATAGATAGATAGTTTTTACAATATTGCAACCATAGAGCAATATTTCCAAACACGAATGAGGCAGCAGACACTTGGGAATCTATGCTACTTCCATGGAATTAAGGCGCCACACATATTGTGTACTCAAAATGCCAGCCAAACTTTCTCAGTGGTTGATGGAAGATTCTTAATCAGCATCATAGAAAGTGTAAGTATTCATAATACTAACTAAAACTAAAATGGAACACATGAAGATATTAAGGAAACAAGAGCAATTGCATTAGACTTTTAGAACAAATCTTTGAGGAGAAACTAATTACTCTTACATCCCGAAGGCGTGGAGTTTTACTTGTAATACAAAGTGTCATGGTTAATCAAAACATGTCTTGTAGATAACATAACAAGATTAGAGGGGATCGTTGTTGGAATGTATGTGTACACTAGCTACAATAGGACCAGGTCCTTAGCACAGTTAGGATAAACAAAAGAAAAGACTGAAAGTAAAGATAGCACACACAACTTTACGTGGAAACCTCCTTACTCAAGGGAGTAAAACCACGACCTGTCTCACGAGATTTTCAAACTGTTTTTACTAATCTTCTCAAGAAAAAGTAAAACACAGTTTACACCACACAAGAGATTAACCTCCTAATCTCTATTCTAAGTAATACAACCTATTACTTAATGAGCCAAAGCAATGCCTGCATTGCCCACTATACTAACCCTTACTGACTAATATAGACTTTTAACGTAAGACACAAAGTTGCCCTCAACTATGTTCTTACAGTGATTCACACAAGTTTTGAAACGTTTCTAACACAAGTGAAACGAATCCTACAATGTAAGCACAAATACAAGCAATCAAAATAACAACAGGTTCAGGAAGCAAATCGTCAGTCTATGAGGTCCATTGTTGTTTTTGAAGCTTGAATTTTCTCTCTTTGAATGAATGAATGATATGTTGTTTGTCATGTTGAATATATCAACCATAAAGAAGTATTAACCGTTGGACAAACAACCTCGTCCATTCTGATTGGTGCGGTACACTGACGACCTCACCAACCTATGACGCGACAGCTTTCCAGCTTTATAGCACATAGACCTGGACAAGCACACTCTGCAGAGGACCGGGTCCATGCATTTGTGAGGATCATCAAAACATCTGGGAACAGTAAGATTTATCAATCGTTATGAATGGGTAAGATAATTTTTCTACTTAATATATATGTTGGCTAATTAAAGGTTTTAGAGCCAAAAGTAATTGGGATACATACAGTACTTGAATTCCTATAACATGTCTAAGTTAAATATGAGTTAATAGGCAAACAAGACATCAAAAAACAGACTGAAAATAGGCATTTGTTAATACCGGCTTCCGAAGATGAGAAACATGCAACCAATTGATTTCAAAACGTCTCCAAGTCACAAACCACACATGGGCAGAGCTAGGGTACAACAAGGAGTTCATCTTTCAAAAAATATAATTGATAAATTAATATTGTTAATTTCACCATTTCCTATATAATAACTCAATTCATAAAATACAAAGTACTTTATAATAATTATATGGGGCAAACGTGCAACGCACGTTTCCAAAAACTAGTACTAATAAAATAATACACTTCTCTCCAGCAGTAAAGCTTAGTTCGATTATAACCTACAAGGGTGTGTTCATCGGCTGCTAAAATACTATGACCATGTGAGTTTATCTCTCCAGTGAGAGGGGGCAAAAAAATTCAGGAGGCATCGATCGGCACAGGTATTAAAGTTGATGAGAACAACAATGGTTGCCTCAAAATGGTTCCAAGAAAAGATGTTTTTAAGTTAAATCTGGTTGGTTATCTCAACAGATGAAGAGAAAATATGTCCATGGAAGATGATATGTGGATCCAAAGCACCTAAGGTAAACATCGATTAGGATAGTGTCACTAATACCACCGGTACCATCTAAGGTTAAAAAAGTTACACAAGCATGAATGGATGCCTGTGTAACGTTTTCAGCAAGATTACGAAAGAGGAAATTTATCTCAAGGATTTATTCACATATAGCTTCCTTAAATGTATACGCAACTATACGGGCTTGGTTGGTAGAGATAGAGGAATCAAGAGTTTAAAAAGTGAAAAGCTATGTAAGAAGAAGAAGGTTATTAATGCATAAACATGTGATATTATCACAGCAGAGGCATCTTTGATAACTTTAGCACTTGAATGCATAAACATGTGTTAAAAAATGGCCAAATATGCCTCTTTATACTTTTGTTGATGTAATTTCTTTTGACGACACCATTTTTCTATCAACAGAAGTAACTTTTGAGGATAAATGATGCTGCACACTTCATTCAATACACTGCAAACAGGAATTCTTCCTTTCCAACAAAAAGCATATCTAAGGCAAATCAGGATTACTTAAAGATAGTACGTCTACCACTTAATACATCTTTTTTTTAAAGAAATAGCTGTAATATTTTTTCTTGAAATCCTAAAAAAAGGTCCAAAAACTGATTAACCATCATTGAAAACTGTGATTATTTATCCTTCTTATAACTTATCTAGAAGTGATTAATGTTTCTTCTTCTGTAATTCCTTTGCCTTCGCTGCTTCTTTCTCCTTCCCATAATTATTTTGTGCTCCATCTCTATGATGATTCTTGCAAGCCATATCGGTTTTCCAGTTGAAATCATGAAATATATTATGGATAATCCAATACATAGTCCACTTCCATAGCCCATAAGAGCACCTTTCCAAAAATCACTCTGAACGTCAGAATTGCTTTCTTCATCATCTAGTCCAGATAAGGTATCATTTGTATCTAATACCCGAGCATCGCCACAACTTTTTGAAATGGGAAATCCACGTAATCCATCATTGCCTTCATATGAGTTGCTCTCATAAGTGTGAAATTGTGGTCCTTGAGGGATGCATCCTTGGAGATGATTGTGGGAGAGATTTAAGAATGAAAGATACGTAAGAGAAGCCAGTTGTTGTGGTATCTCTCCCGAAAGCTGGTTTCCTGATAGGTCCAGTGATTCAAATGAAGATAAATCTCCGAATGATGACGGTATATGACCTTGCAATCCATTATGAGATAAATTCATTATGTGAACTGCAATGAGATCCCCCATGATACTTGGAATTTGCCCCCTAAATTTATTGCTTGAAAGATCGATAACTGTGTACAAATACAAGATTCTCACAATTTCACGATAAAATCCCTTGGTTGCAACTGTAATAGAATCTTCGTTATAAGTATCTCCATGATATCTTGGTGCTCCCATTGATGGATCAATTGTCCTCATGGCTTTCAGATGTTGAAACAAACTCGAAGGTAAGTTTCCCGAGAAGGCATTATAAGAGAGATCTATGATTCGGAGCTCAGGAAACATGTTCTCAATCCTTGATGTTCTGATGGGTCCATGCAATTTGTTTGATCTCAAGCTTAAAACTAGCAGATCTGGAAGAGCTCCCAACCACACAGGAAATGTGCCGCTGAGGTTATTATTGCCTAAATCAAGAAGCTGCAAGTTTTTGCAATTGGCCAAAGATTGAGGAATTTTCCCTTCTAGTTTATTTCCATGCAAGTTAAGGCTGCTCAGTGAACTTCCATTGCTGAAAGTCGTTGGAATGTTCCCAGAAAGATTGTTGTGGCGCATATCCAAAACTTGGAGGGCAGTGATTTTTCCCAAACATGGCGGAATTTCTCCACGTAAATTGTTTCTTGCCAAATCTAGCATTACAAGTGATGTTAAATTGCAAATATCTGAAGGAATTTCTTCACTGAGATAATTATAGGATATGAAGAAGAATGTTGTGGAATTTGGTGGAATAGCTAGTGAACCTTGAAGCAAATTGGACCGTAAATCAATAGTATATACAATCTGAAGAGGAATTGTATCCACACTCGTCAGCATATTGTGGGATATATTAAGAGTTATCAACGACATCCAGTTAGACCATGCCCAATCAGGAATTCTTCCTTGAAGCTTATTATTTGAAAGATCCAAGTTGGAAAGCTGTTTTGCAGATCTTAGAAACTCCAATTCTTTCACTTCACATGCGGCCAATAGTAAGTACTCAAGTGACTCAGGCAAAGTAGAGTTAACTTCCTTTTCATCAATAGTATTGTATGAAAGACTAAGATACGAAAGCTGTTTGAGGTCTGAAAAGAGGCTGACATCCACATGAAAATTATTGAAAGAAATATCAAGATCTGTTAGGTTCACAAGGTTTTGAATTGAGTTGGGAAGATGGCCTTGCAACTGATTATTGCTTAAATCAATCAAGTTTAGTGAATTGGAATTGAAATCCTCAAACTGACCAGAAAAGTGGTTATTGCTCAAGACTAAACGACTTAGTGATGGAAGGGAGAAAATCCCTGATGGTATTGTTCCATTCAGGGAGTTATATTGAAGGTACAAATCCTCTATGCGAGTGAGCTTCGAAAGAGATTCAGGAATAGGCCCTCTAAGGTTGCAATTTTGAAGATACAAATAACGCAGTGAAGTTAGATAGCCAATAGACTCGGGCAAATTATGAGGGAAATTCACAAAACTGAGTTGTAACTTCTGGAGAGATGTGCTGCTGTTCCATTTAGTCTTTGGAAAATAACCACTGAGCTGATAATTTTCCCATAAGTGAAGTGTTTCCAAGTTTGGCAGGTGAAATATAGTCTCAGGTATTATCCCATACAATGCTGTATCTCCCAGCCTAAGAGTTGTTAAATGAGAAGAAAAATTCAAAGGAATGGTGGAAGAGATGTTTATGGAAGTAAGATCTAGCTCTATTAATTGGGTCAAGTTCTGAAGGAACAATTTAAAATCGTGAGCTATGAGTCGTAGACGACCATAGAGACGAAGAGACTGCAACTTGGAAAGATGAGAGATTTCAGAAGGAATTTGACCAGAGAAATTGGAGTCAGAAAGATCAAGATGTGTCAAGCTCGAAAACTTTCCAAATTCAGGGGAGATGTGAGAATTGGAGAAGTTATTCAGAGAAAGATCAAGCCTTTGGAGATGAGAGAGTTGGAAGAGGCTGCTATTGGAATCGATGGTCCCAGCAAGATTACTGCAGCTGAGGTCCAGTTCAATTACATGGCCAGTCATCTCATCGCATATGACACCATCCCATGAGCAACAATCTCTGCTCATGTTCCATGAACTCGTTTTTGGATAAGGCTCTTGACAGAGATAAGAGGCAGAGGTATCTACAGTAAGTGTGTTCTTGAATTTTAGAAGTGAACTGGTTTGATGTTTGTGAGAGAGATGAGGTAATTTGGATGCAGAAACAGTAAATACTTCATGACAGAGAAAAACAAGTAAGAGCACAATTGCATAGTCCATATTTAGCTTCAGAGACTTGTAATTATGCAGTAAATGTGTGTAAATATATATGGACGTAGGGAAGAAAAAAGATTTTTTTTAAAATCATTCAGATTCAAAGACATTTTTTCAAATAAAAAATATTTGCTATAAATTCCAAATTTCACCTTGACCAATAGTAGATTTGATAGGGAAATCAATGTTTGTTTTTCACAAGTCAAATGCACAAGTCTTGTTATAGAAATTTCAAGGAAAGGTACATCACACAAATTCATTTAATTTGGTGAAAAATTCCAAAGCTTGCAACAGGAAAAAAAGAAAAAAAAATCAAACAAAGCATACTGCTTCTTAGTTATCTTGATTTAGAAATTTATTTATGTGGATGTATTTCTTATTGGACCGATAACTGATTTAGTCAAGCATTTTTAAATAGCGTGTTTGCTTTGGTATAATTATAAGATATTGAATTGTTGAGGGACCAGATATTTAGAATGAGACGTGATTTTTTCTAAAAATAACTTGGTTTCTCATTCGATTTTTAATATCCACATTAGGGTCCCTATTAATCTGGATTCTCGCCGTGTAAGGCCTGTTAAAGGGAGAAATAAAACCAAGTTTTTGCACGGTGTGTCCCTCCAAGTATCTTTTTTCTTGCACCTAGAAGTATTAATGCAGTTATTTGAATTATCAAGTTATTGCAATCAGTCTTGCTGTGGAAATTTCAATGAAAGCTACTTAACAGGCAAATCCCTTTCACTTTGAATTTTCATGTTGAAATAAATTATTTATGAATTTTATTATCAAAAAAAGAGAGGAAAGGGGGAAAATCAAGTAAGGACTGCTGCCTTCATATCAAATCATCAATCAATTCCAAGTTTACAAAATGTTGTCATTCTTAAGTCAATGCACAAGTTTTTCTAGGAAAATGTCAAAAATATACTTTCTTCGTCCCAAAACAATGTCAAGTTCAATACATCAAATTTACTATTTTAGAAGTAGCTAAAATGTGTAGCAGCAGTTTTCTTTAGCCTCGGCATGAATCAAAGGTTCATCCTCTTCAGAAGTTAAAACTACTAAAATATAAAGTATACTCAAATATGAATAGCTAAAAATCCACCAACTAAACATACAAATTGTTATTCATCCTCTTCAGAAGTTTCTTCATCATCTATCCATTCACATGCATCATCTTCGGAAGTTTCCTCCTCATCTATCCATTCATCCTCTTCGAAAGTTTCCTCCTCATCCTCCTCCATATTTGTTGTCATATCTAACTCTTCTCTATTAACTTCTTCTGAAATGTGATCAGGATGCTCCAAATTCATTTCTAACTCAGCATCCACTACTTGATGAACACTTGATATTTCATTTTGATATGCAACATCCAATTCATTCTCAACTTCCACTCACCCCATTGGTTTTGTTTTGATTACAACCCACTAATCAGACTTATCCCTACGCAACGAATAAGGAGCATAGTACACTTGTTAGCATTATGTGCAATAATAAAAGGATCATAAGCCTCATACTTCCTAGTGTGCTTGACTTCAATGATATTATGTTGCTTAAGCTTCCTCGTACCTCCTGAAGTTGGATCAAACCACTTGCATTGGAAAAGTACTATTCTTTTGATTGGCCAACCCGAATACTCCAACTCTAGAATCTCCTGTAGGACACCAAAATAATCAACATTCTCATTTTGATTTCCATCATCACCTTTAACCCAAACACCACTATTATTAGTTTTCTTATTCTTTGAGTATTTCTCTATGACAAATTTAAAACCCTTTACGTTATATTGGGACATTGTGTGAACTGTAATCGGTCCCCAAGAAATATCCTTGAAAATTGATCAAATGTGGCGGCATTTTCTGAATTGTAGACCTATATATGGTTAGTAAATTAAAAGCAATGTTAGTAGAAAGAAGAGTACATCAATCTCTTAATAGGTGTATGTATTACAACACTTACCCAATTAGTATACCACGTTATAAATGATGGAAACACTTGATCATGACCATATTGGCTCACAAAATAACTGTAGAATCACATTGAAATACAGTTAGTTTCCTTAATAAAATCGGAGTTGAATATATGTTGTTTACATATTTAATATTCTTACTCTAAGAAGGGTTGGACTTCTGGACAGTTCAACAAGACATGAAGCTCTGCAGATTTTTTGTCCTTTTTGGTAAGTTTGTGCAATGTATGCTTTTTTGAACCCTTACCCGATTGGTTGAAGATTGATAATGATTGTACTGCAGGATCGTTCCCAGTAACATCATGTCAATTAGGTCTGTTTCTCAAACACGACACATAATCATCAAAGTAGTAAGAACAAAAGTGGGATCTTTCTTTAGCTAGATATATTTGAACCATACAACCCTCCACCCTATGTTTATTCTTAATACCCCTTTTAGAATTGCCAATGCTCCTGTAAAATTTTATATGAGATATATAATTTCAAAAGATATATAAATGATTTATGAAATAAGAATAAATGTGTTATAGTTACTTACCGCTCAAAAGGATACATCCACCTATATTGAATTGGACCTCCCAATAGAGCTTCATGAACAAGGTGAATAGGAAGATGTTCCATCACATCAAAGAACCCAGGTGGAAGAATCTTCTCCAACTTATTACTAATAACAACTATATTTTTGGCCATCCAAGCAAGATTCTCTACTCTCAATGTGCTGGAACACAAGTCTTTGAAGAACAAACTGATCTCTGCCATCGATTTCCATATGTTTTCAGGCAATCCACAAAAAGCAATCAGAAGTAATTGTTCCATGAAAACATGACAGTCGTGACTTTTCATCCCATGTAATATTCCACGCTCAATGTCAACCCTCTTTCCCAAATTTAAGGCATATCCATCTGGCATTATCAAGTTTTCCACCCACTCACAAAATTTTCTCTTTTGTTCCATTGTGAATGAATAACTAGCCTTTGGCTTAAGTAACTTGTTGTTGGCAGACTCCTGTAAATGCAACTCCAGTCCTCTACAATGTTCTGGTAAGTCAAGTCTAACCTTAACATTATCTTTTGTCTTGCTAGTTACATCTATTACAGTGTTGAACAGATTATCAAAATAATTCTTTTCAATATGCATGACATCAAGATTATGTCTAAGCAAATTATCTTTCCAATAAGGTAACTCTCAGAATATACTCTGTTTAGTCCAATTATATACAACACCATACCCATCAAATTTGTACGGTGGTTCCTCAGTTACAATTTTGAACCCTTTCCCAAGTATCATCACCCGTTAATATTGGGGGTGGACCATCTCGTTCAGTTTTATTCTTTTTAAATGCATATTTCTTTCTCCTAAACTCATGATCAGGTGGCAAGATCCGACGATGACAATCAAACCATGAATTTTTTCGGCCATGTTTTAATGTGAATGATTTACTATCTTCCATACAGTAGGGACATGTTAACTTTCCAACTATCATCCATCCAGATAGCATTCCATAGGCAGGAAAATCATTAATAGTCCACATTAAAGTAGCACACATGTTGAAATTTTGTTTACGAGAAATGTCTCATGTTTCTACCCCCTCAGACCACAACAATTTCAACTCATCAATCAAAGGTTGTAAGTACACATCAATCTTGCTTTTTGGATTACTCGGACCAGGAATGACACAATTTAGAAATATATATGGACTTGTCATACACATCTCAGGTGGAAGATTATACGGTGTAATAAACACAGGCCAACAAGAATATGGTGCAGCCCCAACTGAAAAAGGGGTGAAACCATCCACACACAAACCCAGCCTAACATTCCTTGGTTCAGCGGCAAAATCTGGATAAGTTCTATCAAAATGTTTCCAAGCCTCTCCGTCAGATGGATGACACATGACACTAGGTGGCCTTCTATTTTCACGGTGCCATCTCATATGAGGAGCAGAGCTATTTGATGCATACAACCTCTTCAATCTTGGTATAAGAGGTAAATAATGCATCGCCTTAATAGCAAGTTTCTTTCTGGTAGAACCAGTCTTATAGCGAGGGTGACTACAAAACTTACAAGACTCTAGATTGACATCCTCTTTATAGTATAACATGCAACCTTTTTCACAACAATCAATTCTTATCGAGGAGAGTCCTAACTTAGACACCAACGCATTTTCTTTATAATAAGAATCAGGAATCTCTATATTGCGATCAACTAATTCCTTCATAAGATCTATCATAGAGTCCATTGCTCCTTGAGAAATATTATTGTCAGATTTGATACTTAATAATCTAACTACAACAGACAATTTAGAGTGTTGACTCCCGTTGAACAAAGGACTACTACAATCACGCAATTGTTCATAAAAGATGTTTGCTTTTTCATTAGGAGCTTCTTCTACATTTTCTCCTTGTTCAAAATCAGAATGCATCCCAAAGGCATCATTAATCATATCTGACATTCTAGAACCTTGGAAATAATTATGCTCGGTAGATCTACTACTTTCACCGACAACAAAGTTATTAAACATAGTGTCACTTTCAACCTCACCATAGATAGTCCAAACTGTATACCCTGGTTTGAATCCATTCATCATAAGATGCATAGCAACAGCCTCTGTTGTATGATATCTCACATTTTCACAATTAACACATGGACACCTAATCAATCTTGAAGTTAAAAAATCATCAAGTGTCTTTGCATGATTTATAAATCTAGTGACACCTTCTGTGAATTATGGAATCATACCCACTCGACCAGGATTGTTTCTATTATACATCCAACTACGATCAGGATTCATCTACACAAACAATAATGATAATTTTAATTCCATCAACTAAATAACATTTGAATTTATTTAAACAACTTAACCACTTTCTAAGTCTAACTAGTTTTGACATATTTATTTTAACTTATTTAAACAACTTAACAACTTTAACTAGTTTAGTTTTGACTTAATTCGAACAACTAAATCCACCAACTAAACCACAATATTTATTTTAACTTATTTAAACAAACTTAACTTTTTAACTTTAACTACATTAGTTTT